GATCAAACAGCAATGTTTACATTTGGCTATATGTTCTAGCTCTGGACAAAAAAAAAATCCTCAAGAATTAACTGTTTATTGTCTTTAATTCTCTCTTTTATTCCCAAATCCAGCCCAACAGGGGATTTGTTACTATTTATAACAATGGTCACCAACAACCCATTTCTTGAGTGAAATGATAATTTTTACTCTTATTTTATTGTTCGTATTAGCATTTGTTCAGTGCTCATCCTGCCTTTAGTACACTCTGCTGACCATTCACTCTTCACTTGCCTTTCAGGAGAGCACACGCCATTGGATTCCGGCACGTCTCACAGACTAAGGTCTTAGTGCACTGTATTGGTTTCTCCTCCTCTTTCTGTCAGTGTGATGCCACTAGGTCCAAAGGAGTAATTGATCTTTACCTTTGCCACTTCACTGACTATTTTGTTGAATACATCTAAAACCATGCTGATGACTCCTAAACATATTTTCAGCTCAGAAATCTCTCCTGAAACCCAAATCTATTGCCTATATGTACCACAACTTATATCTTGTTTGTTTCAAGTTTTGGCAATAATTAGTAGAACTGCTGTACATATCCACACACAGGTGGATATGTTTTCAACTATTTTGGATAAAATCAAGGAATGTGATACCTAAAGTCTGAAAATGACTGTGCAAGTGTAGTTATTTTTGCATTTTCCTGCTTGATGATCTCAGAGCTTCATGGACCTGTGATTTGCTGTCTGACATTAATTTAGGGAAATTCTTAATCTTTATTGCTCCAAATACTTCCTCTGTACTTATCTGTTTCTTCGTATATTTCCTTGCATATGTGATATGCCATTTGTAGTTGGCCCAATGTTTTTGGTTATTTTTTCTCTGATTTTTTTTTCTATCTTTTCTCTTTGCTTTTCAATTGTGGGAGAATCCACTGTCATCTATCTATCTATCTATCTATCTATCTATCTATCTATCTATCTATCTATCTATCTAGATATAGATATATATAGTGAAACTCAGAGATTATTTCCTCAGCCATGTCCAATCTTCCAACAAGCCCATCTAAGGTATTCTTTATTTCTGTTAAAATGTTTTATTTCTAGTCTTCTTTTTTGAATATTTCTGATAATTTCCATTTCTCTGCCTACATTATCCATCTGTTCTTGCATATTGTCTAATTTCCCTCTTAAGCCCTTTGTATATTAATCACAGATTTTTTAAATTCTTGGTCTGTTAATTAAAACATTCCTATATATCTGATTAATTTTGATGCTTGCTCAAACCTTTAAATTGTCATTTTTACCTCCTAGTAAGCCAAATAACATTTTGCTGTGAAAGGCAGAGATAGCTTACTAGGTAAAGGAACTGAGGCAAATAGGTCTTTAATAAAAAACAGTAACGAATGAAGGACAGAGACATTTTATTGTTCAATGATTAGCTTTTGATCTTTTTGTGAGCTTGTGCTCCTGGATAGTTAATCAATACTTCTCTGTCCACACCCCCAATCTCCCTTTGGTGGAACAGGATGGTTGGGGGTGGCTGAAGTTGAATACTTCCCTTCCCATGGATGGAAGAGTAGAGCTGGCTGGAGTTGTGTATTTTTCTGACTCCAAGTAGGTTCTGATAAAACTCCAGCAAGTTCAGGCTTTGATAAAATAGTTTCTCCTGAAGACACTCCCTTGTTAAGAAGATTAGTGTTCAGAGTTATTTCAAAATGCTTTCTTTCTCATTCTTCCTGCCGGAAGCATTAGGGGATTTTTCTTACATATTCACTGTGAGTTCCTGGTAGAACTCCTAGAGGGAAAACTCACAAAACTGTAGGGGTTCCCATTTGCTTAAGTCCCCCAAAAGTTTTTAATTCTCAGAATTGTCCCCACCTAACTTCCAGTGATTCATCAATTATATTCAGGTTTCCTACTCCAAACTCTGGCTCCCTTGGAAGTATCTGCTCATGGGTTTCTTCTCAAGTAAGTTGTGATTCTCTATAATGCCTGCATTATTATATATTATATATATAAAATAATATATATATTTTTATATAGGTGTGGTTGTTCTCTATGCTCAAACTTCTGTGATGTATCTAAGAAGAGTTGTAGATTACTCAGTTTTTTTCAGTTTTTCTTATTGAAGGATGCAATAGTAAATTCTAAATTCCTTACCTAATGGACTGGAAATTACAAGTCTCTATTGACCCTTGCTGATTAAAATTTGAGAAACCAAGCTGTTAGACTGTTTTAATGATTTTGTCATTGCATAAAGATTGCAATGATTTTGATTTTATTTTGTGATTTGGGCTGAATTTGACTGATTTGACTGAAGGGAGATTGTTTAAGCAGACCTCCCACCCCAAGATTATTTAATATTTCCTTTTATCTAATACTTTCCTGAGTTTTTTTTCTTCATATAACTTAATGCAACTGAAGTTTATTGAGTCATGTAGAGAAAGGAAGAAATCTAACTTTATTTTTCATTTTCTTTTTAAATATATTATCTTATAAGTAATCCAATATTTCCCCACAGTTTTGAAATTTTCCCCTTATAATAAATTATTTATTGATAGTTTCTGCTTTCTATATTTCTATTTTGTCCCACTGACCTGCTACATATTTCTTGGAAATATAAAACTGATTTATTTTGATATTAAAATATATATTTATATTTGACTATGCAAGTTTCACTATGCTTCTATACCCAGTTATTCATTTTGACATTTCAGCAGATTTTAGAAGCTAGTTTTCCTAGTAACTTTTGGAATAATTTTTACCAATTCATTTGCAATCATATTAAATCAACAGATCAATTTTAATTAGTCACAGACATTTGAAATCAAGTCAACTGCTGCTTAAAACGAAGGGTCTTTTAGTTGCCAAAAAGCCAATTCATACAATTTAAAAATATCTCCTAGATAGTTCAACATTTTTATGTCAGAGAAGTACAATCTGTTTAAAATATGCATACACTAAGTTGTGCAGGAGTGAACATACATGCATGCCCATCAATAGGAATTACACAAGCATTAATAACTAGAACCAAAAGGGGAAATGACCATCAAAATAAGGATAGATACTGGTAAGCTAGAAGTCCAATCAATATTATAATTGAACCTGTAATTCACTGTGCTAGTCAAGACAGCATATTTACACAACTCACTGCCACCAGTCAAAGATTACTGAAGCCTGCCACCTTTCCTTATGTCTGTGTTTATTTAAAATAGCTCACTGACTGACTCTTTGCTCAATGAAACTACTCCTAAAAACCCAATGCTTCATTTACTGCCAGCATGTTTATAATATAGTCTATTAAGTTGACTTTGCATGTAACTTTCATTTAGTCAGGCTACATGTGATGTAGCTTCATCTTATTCTCTACTTCTCTTCAGTAGTAGCAACAGACTGTCTTAACTCTTACATCTTAACTCTTTTCAGAGTGGCAAAAGGTTCTATGAAGGAAGAGCAGAAACTGAGTTCTAATTCAAAGGAAGGTAAGAAAATGAGCTGTGAAGAACAGGCATAAGTAGAAGGCAACCATTATGGCTGCTAAGGCACATGCTTCCAAGTTTGGAGCTGCTAGAAACAGCATAATCTCAACCAACTTAAAGTGAAGGCAAGTCGCCACCTAAAGATCATGAGTAGCCAAGTTGCTTTAAAAGAACAGAGTCAAATGTATCCCCCACAAACACAATCAGCCTGATAATAATCCTGTCTCTGCTAATAAATCAATACATCTCTCTCTTCCTTAAGGTCTAAAATTTCTTTAACAAGGTTCAGAGAGAGGATGTTTATTTTACAGTTAGGGACTTAAAGTAAAGCTTCACTGTGACTAAGTTTTAATTAAAGTATAATTAAATAATCTCTCAACATATGTAAATGATATGTTATTAACTTTTTCCCCTCAGTTTTATTGCAAGGTGACAAGAAACAAAGAGAAGAAGGGAGGTGAAATGTAAAGAAGGAAATTCTTAGAAGACCAAAAGGTTTCAGAATGTTGAGCATTCCCACAGAGATGCTGAAAAGAAACTTAGGATAGGAATGACTTAGGCTCCACTTAGAACCGAGTGAGGTGAGAAGAGCAGAAATCCAACTGACAGGCTTGGATCAAGACACTACTAATGCAAAGAATTCTATGTGGTAAGATAAAAGATTTTCCTGTTATGCATTTCTTAAAACCCTTTGCTATTCATTCCACAATCCACAGGCAATGTATAAAGTCCAAGAAAAAAATATTATCATATTTATTTTCTTCCATCTCAAGGTAAAAACATTTTACTTTAAATGTACTTTAAATGTGTTCTTTCTGTTGTTTCTCTGCCTTTCAGAGTAGATATTCTTTCTTGTAGAAGCTTGAGGTCAATATAGTAAGACAAAAGGAATGTTTCTCAGTAAGTTATTCCTCAGAAATTTAGAACACTAAATGAGGTAGACTATTGAGCTGAGCCAAGGTGGTACTTCTGAACAAGATTTAATGAGCAAATCCTTTTGACCCTGTCAAAGCAAAGCCAAATTTTAAATCACATAACATTATATTACCTTACATTTGTCACTTAGAAGAAGTCATTCAGAAGTATATTTCCTAAAAATTAACCGTGTTTTAAAAAATATACAAAACATACTTTGTTTTCAGCATAGGACAATGCCAAAGTTGATTGCAAGTAATATAATTCCACTGTAATCAATTATTGGTACTGATTTATAAATTTTCACTGAGGAAGAGCTTCATATTTTGAAATGAAAATTATTAGGTACTAAAAATTCATGTTTGAAAACTTTTTCTTACCCACACAGTATAAAACCTAGCATGTGTAGCTTTGTAAAAATCCTTAAAACCATTTTTCAGGGAAATTGTTTTAGAGAAAAAACTTTTACAGTAAACAAATTGTCAATTTAAACATTTATCAATTGGTACTAACAATTTTGTAGCTATGAAAACAGCAAGTCAGAAGTATAGTGCTCCTCCCCAATAAAAATTAAATTTTAATGACAAAAACATAGCTCATTCAAATAATTTTATCATATCACCTGTGTATGTCTTCTAACTGCATATCAAAATCTTGGAGTTTCTTTTTATATTTTTCTGTAAAGTTACAGAATTCATTAAGGACTGAAGATTTCAAATCAGGATATGGGCATTCCAAAGTTTCTAATTCCCTGGGCAGTTGACTAAGCTGATAGCTTCTTTCTTCTGAACAATGATCTAGTATCTGTAGAAAAAAAAAGATTATTTTAATATCAACTTAATATTAAAATTGATAATCAAATTACTTTCTGCATCACACTTACCTTCATACTCCAGTCTGAAAGGTCATTTTCTATTTCCTGTTGTTCCAGACTAAGCTTTTCAAAGACAGCTTTCAATTGTTTTTTCACAGAGTCAACCTATAGAACATTTAAAAGCAGAATGAGTAGTATGCAAATTGTTATGATTCACCCAACACTGATATTTAAAAGCATAGGACTTATTCTCAACAACCAATAAATAATGAAAAATTAGATAAGGGACAATCCCACTGAGGGACCACAGGACAGGGTATGGGAGATGCCATGGTCAGGCAGTGCTCCAAGGGGCTTTATAGGGTTTCCCATCACAACCTAAAAGTGGACCTGGGAAGACATTCTGCACCCACGTTTGGGTTTTTGTGGTAAGGCAAAGAGTTTATCTCTGTTTCAATTACCCTTTACTTCTCTTACTGTCTCTAATCCCCATGTGAACATGGATTATTAGTGGCATTTTAAAGTCATTATTCATAAAAGCAATATAACAACACTACCCAATAACTGAAATACAGATTGGAACAAATAGCTAAAACCCAATATTTCTTGTAGTCTTATATTTCTTATAATCTTATATTTCTTCTTGTATTTCTTATAATCATACAGTTTATGCTCTAGTCAAGGTAGGTAATAAACTAAAAAAAAAAGGATAAAGGATAAGGGAGAGGTAAAGAATATAAAAGAGAATGATATTCTAAGGAGTGACTCTGGTTTCTCTCACGTGGGTTTTATCAGGGCAGGCATCTCACAGGAGAGGACATTTAAGCTAAGAACTAAGTGAAGATCTGCCATTAGTGGGACAGCCTGGTGTATAAAAAATAACAATAAGATCATGACAGTGATAGATGAGAGAGCCTAAAATATAGGGAGGAATTATGGTGCAGCCAGAGCCCTAAGGGGACCTGGCAGGGGATGTCTTGATGCCCCTACACTGAAGATAGGATGTCTAAATATACTGAGAGGAAGGGCAATGATGAAAGCTGGAGACCAGCAATGAGGCCACTGTAAGATTCCAGCTAAGAAATGAGCACAAATACAGTAATATATCTAAAATATATCAACAGAATTTGCTGCACCTTCTATTTAAATATATATAAGATATACATGTCTGTGTGTGTGTTTTTTTTAATCTCAGACTGTTTTTATATGGTTCTAATGAAACAAAAATGAAATAATATAAGATTAAAAATAAAAGTAAGGTAATACTGACCTCTTCCAGTATTTTCACAGCATTAAACTCAGTATGTGAATGCTCTAAAATGTCATGTTGTCTATATCTTAGATCTGCTCTCAATTGATGAATAGGATTTATTACATTTTTAAGATATATGGACCATTGTTCTGACAGCTCTTGCTCTGTGATGAAACAAAAATTAAATCAAGGTGACATTATTATAAGTTTCTCCAAGAACAGGTCATTAGAGTGCAGGTTTATTTTTGGATTTCTTTAGGAAAAAACAAACAAGGTTAATATTAAAAGAACATGAAGTGAGTTCATCTTCAAAACAAAACTTCCCTTTTAATAGAGGATCAAAAAATAAAAACTCACCAAAATTTATAAAGTCAGCAAGACATTCATTGCCAATGTGCTCTTGATTGAGAAAACGTTTTATTTCAGATTCCATTTTATATCTGAAATAGACATTGTCTCCATTAGTTTTTGCAATCAAACACACACACACACATACATAGGTTTGCACATCTGAACTGCTAGCTATTTTTTCAATCTATGCTTCATTCACTTGTTTATTTAATTTGGTCACATACCAAATTCCTAAGGTGGGTTGGATACTTTCCAGACTCTGAGATAGAAAGAAGTATAAGTAAACAGGCTGAAGTACAATGTTAGCTAAGGCAGGCACATGGCAAGTCCTGGCACTGTTTCATGTAGGGAGAGCGCAGGGCATTGGGAACCACTGAGAAATATTAAGCTGACCTCACCTGCTCAGCCGATCTATGTTTCAAAAAGATCTTCAAGGTAGCCAGATGGAGAATAGTCTGGAAGGATGGGAGATTGATAAAAATTGAAAATGAAGAAATGGGATCAGATAGATCTGGACCAAAAAGAAACTATTTTAAAGGTTAAATAAAAAATGATGAGATCCTATTATGTTAAGGAAATTAAAAAGTACACTCAAAAGAAACTAGACCACTATCTCATCCCATACACAAAAATTAATTCAAGATGAACTTAAGATCTCAATGTAAGACCTGAAACCATAAATCACATAGAAGGAAACAGACTGTAAGCTCTTCAGTGTTAGTTTTAGCAATTTGTGAATTGACTCTAGTGACAATGGAAGCATAAACAAACTGATAAACAAAAATGGTATACTAAAAAGCTTTTGCATAAGAGGAACCAACATCAAAATGGAAAAACAACTTCTGACTGGCAAATCATATGTCCAACAAAAGGTTAATATCTAAAATGTCAAAATAACTCATAAAGCTCAATAGCAGAAAAATAAATATTAAAAAATGGGCAGAAATTCTGAACAGGCATTTCTCCACAAAGTCAGACAGATTACAAAAAAGGACATGAAAAGATATTCATCATCACTTGATATTAGGAAAATACAAATCAAAACAACAATGAGACTTTACCTCATACCTGTTAGGATGGTTATAATCTAAAAGGCAAGAAACAATAAATATTGGTGAAGATGTGAAGAAAAGAGAACATTATACATCATTGGTGGAAATGTAAACTGGTGCAGCCACTATGAGGTACGGAGATTCCTCAAAAAATTAAGAGAAATACCATGTGATCTGGCGATTCCACTTCTGTGTATTTATCAAATACAAAAATGTACCTCTCTGTTCAACAGCACTGCTTTTAGTAATGAAGTTATAGAAACAATCTAAGTGGTCACTAACAAATGAATGGAGAAAGAGGATGTGGCATATATACACAATGGAAATATTTGATTTCACTTACTTGGAAGATAAACAAAGCAAATGAAAACAAATTTCAATTCAGAGGACAGATTGGTTGTTGCCAAAATAAGAAGGATTTGGGATGGGTGAAATGAATAAAGAGGGTTCTTTATTGGGAGGTGGATAGAAACTAGTCTTTTGGTGGTGATCATAATCGACAGTATATACAGGTGTTGAGGTATAATATAATGCTGTACATCTGAAAAATATGTAATTTTACAAGCCAATGTTACCCCAAATATTTTTATAAAAAAGAGATGATGAAGTCCTGCATGAGGGAAATGAGAATAAAAATGTATTTTACTTTTCAACACTAATAAAATAATAAAGCTTAATCTTTTGCTGTTATTTAAATATAGTCATTTTTGGAATATCCAAAAATACTATAATTTACCCCTTGCTAATGGCAGATTTAATGAAATCATTAAAAAGTTTTGATTTATTATGATTACTAAAATACAATAATAGCAGTGGTGTAAAGTAAGAAAGTAGCAATACTTATTAATATAATGGCTATTTTAATTTTTGCATGTAAATTTTCTAGCCCTGCCTACATGCATATATATTTTAAGTAGTTGTAACTATGGCATATTTAACATTTATATGAGGAGTACTGGAATAATATTTTAATTAATATTTCAAAATAGTTTTCATAGTTATTTTAATAGCTTCATAGTACTCTATTTTAGATATGTACAATGATCTTCTAAAGCAATTTGCTATCATGTAACAGGATTTTTTTCTTACGTTTATAAAACAGGGATGCTATTGTAAGTGACACTTCACTGTTTACTTTTTCAGCACATGGTTTTGCAAGAAAAATCTTAAATAACTTATTTTAAGGTTATATCCAAGACAGTTACATGGCAGATGGATAGACAATAGAATCAAAACAAATGTTATTTTGTAATAGATTTTATTTACCAAAACATAACTCTTAAAAACTCTCTGGATCAGTTTTCTTATATTTTCATCTCCCAGAGGCCATAGTAGCACACACAAAGCATCAGAAGACTGATCTCTTTTTTCAAAAGGGAGATTAATCTGCTACTTTACATGTGGTAATTCCAGTATACTCCATCCTAGGTTAATTCTGACAGTATCCAAGATCCACAAAGAACTCACAAAACTCAACAGAAAGAAGTAGCCCAATCAATAAATGGACACAAGAGCTACCTATACAACTCTCCAAAAACAACATTACAGATGACCAAAAGGAACATAAAAAATGTTCAACATCACTATCAGGGAAATGCAAACCAAAATCACAATGATATACAAACTCACTCTAATGAGAATGGTCTATATCCAAAAAGCAGAAATGACAAATGCTGGTGAGAGTGTGGAGATAAAGGAATCCTCATAACTGTTTGTGGGAATGTAAACTGGCCCAGCCCCAACAGAAAACATTGTGGAGTTTATTCAAAATATTACAAACAGGTCTATCATGGATTCTCACGTAGGTGTCTACTCAAAGAACACAAAATCACCAACTTGAAGGGATATATATGTATGCCTATGTTCACTGTAGCACCACTTACAATAGCCAAGTTATGGCAATTATCTAAATGCCTGTCAACAGAGCAATAAATTAAAAGATGTGATATATATATATATATATATCCACACAATGGATTACTGTTCAGGTATGAAGAAAAGATGAACTCTGGCCACTTGCAATAATATTGACTAATCTGGAGGGAATTATGTTAAGTGAAATAAGTCAAGAAGACAGACAAGTACTCAGTGACTTCACTCATGTGCAGAACACAGAGAAAAAATTGCCTGGGAACTGACAAAACTTAATCTAAACAAACCTTCGAAACATGACCACAGAATTAAAACCACTGCAGGTGGGAACAAAGTGGGGAGAGGATACACTGGCTTAGGGTAAAGGACTATATGTACTTGTATGGTGGGGCTGGCATTGAAACATACCTTTGAGAAGGTGTGAACTTACTCTCCTAAATCATGTACAGTGATGTAAATCAAAATTATCCCAATAAAGAAAATCTGAACAGCATGCTTTATAAATACCACCATCATAAAATTGTTGCAGATATGCAAATGGAGGAGAAATATCTGACTTCTCACACTGCTTTAATTTTGAAAAGTTTGTGTTTCAAAGATTGTAATTAATATCAAGCATAGAATCATTATTTTGTTTTAATTCATCTTGAAGTGACTGTTGAAAATATTATGTCAGAAATCCAAATTGAAAAAAATAGATATGCTGCAGTTATATTTAGAAATCACTGAACACTAGAAAACCTTAGCTGATTTGTTCATTCATTTATTGAAAGTGTTTAGACTTGTTCTTTCAGGTATCCTACAGTGTAAATATGAATATGATCACATGTTTGCTCTTGACAAGTTTACCAACTTATAGGAAGAAAAATATGTAAACAAAACATATTCTAATGTGCTAAGGATATTATAACATTACAGTATAAGTGGAGATCTAGAAGAAAAAATGATTACCAGATAAAGATTATCCTTTTTTCCCCTAAGTAAAGCAAAAGCCATATTAATGTAGTCATTGGATTCTAAGTTAAAGTGAGGATGAAAGGATTTTAATTTGATTCATATTCAAACTATAACTTTAAATTTTTATTAGAATGATTTAATTAAGATGGAAAGTTAAAGAATAGTTAACTTGAGCCCTCCCTGGTGGTGCAGCGGGTTAAAGCACAGCACTAAGAAGCTAAAGCCACTTCAGCATGAGTTCGATCCCTGCCCCAGAGGTGACCCACATGGTTCAGCAGACCTCCCCTGACCAGCCTGCTGCTCCCCTCAGCAGTGTATCTGTCAGTCGGCCTGTTCTGCTCCACACTCTGTCTCTTGTGAATCCTGTCACGGCCTTGCACCTCTGGCCTGTATCCCAGTTCGCATAAATAAATAAATCTTAAAAAAAAAAAAAAAAAGAATAGCTAATTTGCTGTCACTCTTAGTAATTCCTACATGTTCTTACTAAGTTGTTTTTACAACTTCTTACTAAGTTCTTACCTGACTTCATTTAGCTTTTGGTGTTCCTGCCACCATGCTTGTTTGTGTTGTTTTATTAGTGCTTGTTCTTTAGATATCTTTGAAGTCTGCACTGTTTTTCGGATCTAGAATTAGAGGAACAAACAAGGAGCAATTTCATTGATTTCTAAATATATTTTCCATAATAGAAATGTTTAATCTATGTTTTCTAAACTAAATGTTCTTTTTAAATCCTACATGTGCATCTTCTAACATAAAATCCACTTTAAAATAGATAGTGTGATAAAAAGGGGGATGGGGTGGGGAAGAAAGTGACTTGGAATAATGATCAAATAAAGAACTATTTCTGAAGTTTTTTTTTTAAAGAAAGATGAAGTAATTCTATTTTCATACATACATCTACTAAGTAATTCCTTAATTCAGATAGCCTCAGAAAATTTACATGAAGAGACAGAGATGAGATAGATAGATATCAATACCTATATAGCTGTGCTGCCCTGGTGGCACAGGGGTTAAAGACACAGTGCTATCACGCTATCACCAGCCACTGTGACATAAGTTTGATCCCTGTCCAGGGAGAAACCCACATTTGGCACAGCAGATATCTCCTGTCTCACCCGTTCCCCCCTCAGCAGTGTATTTCAGTAGATACACTCATTCTGGTCCCCACTCATGTCACTGGTGAATCCTCTCAACCCCTCCCCATCCCCCCAACCCCCCACCACACACTCACATCTCTGGACTATACTCCATGCATAAATTAGTAAGTCTTAAAAAAAAAAAAACTATATATAGCTTTTAGGACACTTTTCCACTCTCAGGCATCATGAATATCATTATGCTTCCTTTACATATGAAAATACTGCAGTTTAGAGAGGTTAAAGACTTGGTCAATGGCTCCCTGGTGGCGCAACAAGATAAAGCACCCATTATGAAGCTATCCAAAGCCACTGAAGCACAAGTTTGATCTTCTGCCAGGGAAGTGACCCACATGGTGCGGCAGACCTCTTCTGACCCACTTGCTGCTCCCCTCAGCATATTTTTTTTTTAGATTTATTTATTTATTCATACAGAACTGGGGTACAGGCCAGAGATGTGGAGGGTGAGGATTCACCAGAGACAGAGTGGGGTACAGAACAGGCAGATCGACAGGTACACTGCTGAGGGGAGCAGCGGGTGGGTCAGGAGAGGTCTGCCTCGCCATGTGGATCTCCTCTGGGGCAGGCGGGGATCGAACTCATGCGGAAGTGGCTTAAGCTTCTTAGTGCAGTGCTTTAACCCGCTGCGCCACCAGGGAGGGCCCCCCTCAGCATATTTTGTCGATTTGCCTGTCCTGCTCCCCACTCTGTCTCGGTGAATCCTCTCACTCCCCATACCTCTGGCCTTCACCCCAGTTCTGTAAGCATAAATAAATAAATCTTTAAAAAATTTTTTGAAAAAAATTTGGTCAAAATCACAAAATTTACTAACAGAATCTCATAGAACCATAATGTTGGGACTGGTTTTTATCTGAGTCCACAGCACAAAATGGGAAAAAGTCATTGTATAGTTTATTAGAAGATCTGGCATTAGTCTGAGCTTAAAACTGTATTAGAAATATGATCTTGAGCATATAATTTTAATCTTTCAAGTTCATGACTTAGTAAATAAAAAGAGAATTTAAAATTTGGCCAATATATATTTGTAAGTACTTAAGTGGTTAAAAAATATCAGTGTTGAAACCCAAATTTTCAATATATTTAAATTTCCCTAAATTTCATTTTTTCAAATGTGATACATAATTAATAATTAATGTGATTGTATTTCTATGGATAAACTGTGTCAGGATTGGGTCATATGCCTTAAGAGCCATTCTTGGCCACACTCCTGACCTGTTTCATATCATATAGCAGCCTATATTTCTCAGGCATGCCTATCAGTGGCCTTCCAACAAGTTCAAACTTCCAAACAAGTTCAGCCAAAGAGAGAGGACATTGTGGGGGAAGACTTAAGGGAGAGAAGCAAGGCGAAACTAAAGGGTTTACTCCTTCTGCCTTCTGTACTCCAAGATCGTTCTCTAAGAGCATCTGAATCTTCTCTACTGTTTCAACTTTTTCTTGACAGTTTTACTGTGGTTCCAATTATCTCCGGGTAACCCTTACCATGGAGTATAGTATGGCCTTTTCATATCTGACTTCTATTGCTTCACAGTCCCCTGCTTCTTTGCTTATCACCTGGGTAATCATTTGTAGTCATTTCCGGCATTAAAGACCCATTTACTGTTAAGTTCTCAAGTATTTCTGTTTCCTGGCTAGACTCTGAATGACAGTCCTATATACCCTGAACTCATGTATTTCATATTAATACTTTTAAGCATCAATAAAAGTGCTACTCTCAAATCAGAAACTTGATGAAATATGCATATTTTATATTTTCTCTGCTACTGGGATACTTAGTACCCTGAAAGCTTTAACAGATCAATACTGAAGATATAAAAACTTAGAAGACAAGTCCTAAAAAGACTCTTTATAATGCATGCTATTTCTAGCTGTCATTCACTGATTACTTTAACCTTGAGTTTATCTTTCTGCTGTCTAGTTACTGATTCAAAATTTGAGATATAAGAAAACAAAACTCAAAGACTTCTTTACAAAATAAAAAGGCAAAATCAAATCTCTTCATAAGCAGTCTAAAAAGTGCTACAATTATGAAATTTGGGAGAAAAGTTCAGTTAAATAAGAACACTAAGAAAAATATTTACCAATCTCTATTTTACTTACTGAAAAATTAAAAGCACATAGTGGTTCCAAAATACAAGACTCTAGTACTTGTTTTAAAAATACCTAAAACTCATTCCATCCATTTGACCTCTATAATTTCTAAAGTTTGTTACAGGACACACAACTTTTAAAATTGTATTTCTTTGACATATATGGTCCATGTTATACAAAAATATTAAAACACATTGGTGAAAGATGTAGACACATTTATATAGTTAAAAAAAAAAATCAATGCTGCTGCCTTTGGGCCCATGGTAAGACCAATTAAATAAACTATAAAAGTCAAAATAGAGTCACTATTTTTCATGGATATATCTAATATTTTGCAGAACATCCTGATATTTTGTAAATTCATTACTCATTGACTTCTCTTCTATCCTCAGGGTGGAAATAAAGAAAAATAAAGTCTTAAAAGAACAAAAAGATATTTTTATCAATAGAGAGACTTTTAGCTGATTCCAATTTATTTTGCTGGACAATTACCTATAAGAAGTTAAACTTAAGGTAAGTGATGATTTATGCAGAATGTTGATTAATCAAAAACAATAAATTTATCAAAGAATCAGAAACTTGAGTTTTACTGTGTGGTGTATCCTGGTGATCCAAGATAATAAAATCCTAAATAGGCACCCTAAAATACCACAAAAGTCCTTTGGGCCAGATGACCTATCTTTACATATAAACAAAGCTAGGTAGTAGACAAAAAATAAAATTTAGGTGTTGGTTGCATTTGTGTACATATTTGTCAAAATTAATTGCAATGCACACTTAAGATTTGTGCACTTAACTGTATATAATGTGTACCTTTATAAAGAACTGTTCGCATAGAAAGAAAAATCTGATTGCTTCACTAAATACAATTTCTCATCTTTCAGGTTGGCAAAATACAGATGTTTAACAAAACTCTCTGGCAGGCTATGGGAAACATACTTTATTTCCTAATAGGAGTACAATATGAAGGGAATACTCCCCTACAACCCCCCATAAAAGGGCGGTAAGAGATGTATATCAAAATTTCTTATGAATTTTCTTTTTAAACTAGCAATCTTACAGAAATTTTAAAACTATATTGGCAAAATATTTTAAAGATGAATGAACAAAGCTATTCACTGAAATATTATTTGTAATAGAAAAAAAAAAACACAAAATTCCATCTGCAAGTGTTCTTGCCAAAGTAAATTGAACTTGAATCTGATCAAGTCTCTAGATATAACTACTAATTTACTGAAAATACAAGAGAGAGAAAAACATGTGAAATGACACCTTAAGGATGTAATCACCAAAATCCAGACTATACGAAATTAGGAGAAAAACAATAATCTCTTCAAAAAATAAATTATAAGAATACAAAAGGGAGGAAGAAATCTAAAACACAAAATCAATTGCAATATACAGATCTTATTCAGATATTGATTTGAATAAACATCAAAGAAAACATGGAGAAAATCCTGGGAACTTATCACTGACTATATAGTTGACTAGAGCAGAAACAGACATTTTAATAGTAATAGTATGGTAGGATTAAAACACATTGGTGAAATTGGTTATTTTAGTCCTAATCTTTTAGAAATACTCATGGTGAAATGAAATGTCTGAAAATTGCTTCAAAATAAGTTGGCATAGGAGGAAGTTGAAGGTGGGAGTACAGAGGAAACAATGGCCAAGTGTTGATCACTATTGTAGCTGCCTAATAGAAATTAAAGAGAGCTTGCTAATCATCATAAACTTACAATGTTCCATAAAATAACATTAAAAAAATCAATTAGATGGATATTTGAGTTGGGCAAGAAGAAATATCCATTCTTGCTGAGCAAATAAATTCAAATAGACATAACTGTAAAGATCTCTTATATTTAAACTGGGAATGAAAAGTTAACATAAAATGTACAAAAAAATTGGTCTCAGTTTTCAGTTTAAATCAACCACTGGGATTAAGGTTCAGGTTTAGCCTTTGAAAGACTAGATCACTCAATATTCTCTTCAATGTTTTATTTGGCATCCCAATACTTGCGCATGAATTTTAGAATTAAATAAGAGATGATCATCAACACATGTAATCGATATAATAAAACCCGAAACACAAACCAGGAAAGTCTTCTAAATTTACTGTTAGTTAATAACAATTATTGTTAATTTATTTTCAAATATAGTTAAGCATTCTAGCTGTAACTTGATGATTTAAATATTAGCATTCTATTATTCAGTTTAAGTGTTTATACTAAATATTGCCAAGTGTTGTAATTATTAACAATGATTGTTAAAACTGTTAATTTCATGTAAAAAAGGACATTTAACTAGTAAAATAAATAGGTGATAATTAATACAAATGTTAAGAGAAAATATATTAATTGTATAATTTTAGGAAGAATATTTTCTTGAGCTGACACATTTCATAAAAAATTATAAAGAACAGCATAAATTATGTTATAATCATAATTTAATTGGTATAAACTGTTTGGTATAACATTGATAACATTAAACAAAATAAGGTTTAGATTTGTATTTAATTTCCAGTTGTCTAATTCCACTTAAGCCATGAATCTTTCAAGAAGCACAAAAGTACTATTTGGGAATTGTTTGTATCTTGCAAGAATAAATTAAAAGCAAAATGTCAACTTGCTATCTCTAAATTAAATGAGATTTAATCTCACTTAAAATTGCATAGACCAATATTCCCAATACATTTCTTTAATCCAGATATAATAAGAAATGAAAAAGTATAAAGAAATTGACACATTTTGTTTTCATTAACTAAAATTCAAAAAGAAAAATATAAAAATGTTTCAAAAGGACAATTCATTATCACCTTGAATCTGTGGAGATTGAAAATGGAAATAAAAGCTTGTGAAATTGATTGCTATATTTCAGAAGTTGAAGACAAGGGATTTTTTTTTTTAGATGTTTCAAGTTATATGTGAATCTAGGTACAAAGTTATTTCTTGAAAACATGTACTAAAAATTTTTTTCCAGAATTATATTCTCTAAGTGTAAAGGTTAGTGATGTTATTTAAAATGCTAGTTGAAACTGATCATCTGTTTAGCCTCACCAATGTTTAAAGTGACCAGGGAAACAATCTAATAGTTGACAGTATTGATAATTACTGTCCCTGTAGTTGATGTCAAACTTTTAAACCACAATAATGATTAAAAATTTCAATTGTTCATCTTTTGGCAGTGATTCTGTATCACTGTATCACTTTGACCAAATACTGATTTTAACAATCATTTCAGATTCAGCCAAAAAGTCTTTTTTTGGGAAACGGAAGAATGGATGGATGGATGGATGGACATGTTAGCAGTTTATGTAGGGATGGATGGGTGGCTACATTAGCAATATCTGTACCTACTGCAATAGTCAGTAGTGACAGAGGTGTAGGTGTACAGAAAATGTTTTTGTTGACATCTTTACTAGAATGACACTTTAGGAAAGAGTTTGGTACTATGTTTCAATACCAAAAAAAAAAAAAAAAAGCATTTATACTTTTATACTTTTTGGCCCAAGCATGAAAGGAGTTTATGTATGCAGACATTTACTAATAATGTAGTAGCCAATATCCTGAAATTGGAAACAATACAATTATCCAAAATTCATGATGTGATAATGTTTGCCTCTTTTTCTATTTGTAGCAATGTGTTTGTTTAGTTCATTCTTAATGAAATTGAGACCCCAATTTCAGTATCAATTCCTCAGGAAGGCCATCCCCAAGCACCCAATCAGGATCAAGCCCTATTATTACACAGCAGACAGCATGTTTTCATTGGAATTTGTACTTAATATAATTTTATTTCAGAGTTATTTGTAAAACCAACTTCTCTCCTCCCTCTTTCCAACAGCAATGTACTCTGTGAGGATGAGGGTTATGCTTTGCTCACCATGATAGCTTTAAGGTGAATAGCAGGCACACAAAAATATGTATTTTCTGTTGTAATGGCATATATTAGTTAAAATATTATAAAAATTATGTAATAAAATGTTGGGGTAAGGCATATAGGTTTTTATATTTATGTTTATCATGGAAGAAAATATGTGAGCATATGTTTATGTATATGTATATATAT